CATGATCTACTCGACCACCATAATGGTTACCGCCAAAAAAAAAACGGAGGTAAAAAAAAAAAACGGTAACCTGGTTGCCGAGTTCACGAAGTGAATTGGCTTGTTTTACAACGTCGTTGCCAAGCGACGAAAACCCAATCCCAATGGCAAACACCGGGGGGGGCGGCTTGTTTTACAACGTCGTTGCCAAGCGACGAAAACCCAACCCCGATGGCAAACACCGGGGGGGTGGACAGTTGGCTAGGGAGAGAAAAAAACCTTGTGGGGGGCAATCTGGTTCTTAAGAGTTAGCACAGCATCCCTAAACGAAGAAGGCAAAGTCTGAATCAACAGTATGCCACATTTCAAGAAGGTAGCAACGAAGCACGTGAGGTACAAGGACACTTGACCACAAGATGTGTTGGTGAATTCCCAATGTACAGATATGAACGGGCTTGCCATCCACAGTGGCTATCCGAAGATGATCGTGTGGTTGAGGGGTCGGTCCCTAGAGAAAAGGGGAGCAAGGATGGGAGGTATTCCTGGTGTTTGCACCCCCGCGCTCACTGCGTACCTCCTAGACTTGTTCGTTAGTGTCTTTGTCTCCCGCAATTCTCACCAACCACTATCACACAATGTGTTTGACACCGAAGCAGCATAGAATAAATGGTGGACTTCGCATGCCGGAGAGTCCTCGTGCAGGCGGGAATTTTTCGGACAACAATGTGGACGACCCTGAGACACTCTCTAGTCTAACTTAAGGAATAGTGGAGTCCTTGAGGATCGATCCTAGGCACCAAGTTCTTCTGTGCGATCAAATCTCTAGATTTCGTGCGTTGTTCTCGTCTTGTTGCAAATCGAACACTTGTGGCCGAGCTTCGATCTTAAACTTTCACTCGTATCTGTTCGCACCATGATTTCGAATGTATGGGTTGGGTCTGATCAATGAAGGAGGGTTTTCGGGGTACTGAGGGGGGTGCTGAGGCCCGAAGGAGCTGCCTCTGTTCTACAGTGAATAATGCACAAGGTGTACCACAGATATATCAACAATTGTGCCCTTGAACGAAAGTCCACCAATATTGTGCCAACGTTAGTCTGCTGGGCATAGACAATTCACTCGTGGTAGGAGCACTAACAAGAGGTTGACAAAACAGTGCTCGGTGTTGCGAGATCAACGAGCCGCGAGCCTCATGTCACACATACATTACTTGCTTGAGTAGCACCGGCATGTGCTTCATGCGCCCAACTCGGGGCAGACTAACGACGGTAACAACTATTGTATGATGTGTCCTTGCAGGAACACACGAGAGAGCCGTGGTTCTTTCGTGGGGCTTTGCGTAGGAGTTTGGACGAGCAACGTTGTGCCACAATAGAGTTGAATGTCACCCCGTTACGACTTTCAACAGTCACTTTTCTACAGCGTTGAAGAGCGCGGAAAAAACGAAGCTTAAACTTCGAGAGAGTCTGTCTCCTTGTAAGACATAAGCAATACAGCCCAGTTCGAGGTGGGAATAACGGAGGGAGGCGCCGGCCAAGTACCGCGTATCACCCATCACGAAGATTTTTGCCAGGCTGTTCAGTAGCTTACCCATTGCTCGTCTGCAGAAACGGCGATGTGTCTTCCCAGAATGCCCCCGGCATTATATACAGGCAAACTTGTATATCCATCACCGTCACCAGCACCAGCACCAGCGCCAACAGCCGATGAAAAAAATGAGGTCGTGTAGGTCCCGGTTAGCTGAGTGCGCGACTCGTCATAGAACACCAGGCTGTGGTGCGAGAGGAAATATGGCCGAAAACAGAACGGCAGCAATCATCGTCGACTATTTTACGTGTTCATTATGTGAAAAGGGCAGATGCCTACTACATGGACTCATTTCCATAGCTGGATGTGTCATCAAACTACTGTAGTACGGCAAGTCTTAACATCCATCATTTTCTCTACCCGTCATGTGGGGATGAAGTCGACTCATGGGGAACCCATCGCGAGTAATCAACGAGCCCCATGGTTGGCTAGGAAAAGGCAAGATGTAGTCCGTCCGGTGGCGCCCGGCCATATAACAAAGATCCACGACATCCATTTTCCCCACCATTTTATGAATATATTATCAGCTTGCCAATTTAGAGCTTGGTACCTGCATGTCGCTGATGAGAGGGATCTAGAATGCAGCAGATGCGAACCGCGCAGTGACGGTGTTGCCCAAGCGCCAGGAGATGGGTCGTGTGAGGCTCCTTTCGCTTCCAGGAGGGACACACCAGCAAGCAAGACACCACATGCGGGGTGAAAGCCTCGCATATCTCTGTGCAGACTGAAAGTTGAGAACGATGTGTCACTGCGCCAGCCGGTGTCATTACCAGGTGTTCAGGCCACCGTATCACCCATGTATCGTGCACAGGCTGACCCGCTTGTTCCTGCAAGTGCATGCATGCTACGCATGCATGTGGTCCGTACTGCTGAGCTCAAGGAAGTTACGTTACCACGACCTGGTAGTGATCTAGCTTGCAGCTAGTGCTTGGAATGGTGTGTGTGGCCTACCGGCAGGCCGCTCGTCTGATGGGTAAGTACGGTCTCTGGTGGTGCACGGGTATTATTGTGCAAGATGCCAATGCTGACGCGGTCGAGGTTCCCGATGCTGTTGTTGCTGGAAATATTTCTTCTTGCACCGAGCACCTGTGTTGTATGCCCATTGGTCAATTCCTGGCCAATGAGCTACTGAAGAACAAACTTGTCGCTCCTACGAACATAACCAAACAGACATTTAGACTAGTCTAGACTAGAAATGTAGGAGTCGATCCTCGAATGCGTTCAACATGCCCCAAATGGAGAAGGCACTTTCATAGATATCAGCTGTCTTGCTGATCGGCCTCCTGGCGGAGACATGTGCCACGGCAATACTACTCTGCATCGGGTGGAGATTTCGCTCGTCGTGTAATGTCTCCGCCCAAGTTGCATTTACGAGTCTCGCAACAAGACGACAACAATGTAGGCCAGTTTTCTGTCACAACCTGTGGGCATCAAATCACCAAAAAATCAAAGGATATCAACGCCAAAGGCTGCCCGTGGTACACGCATAGACTATGATGGAGTAATTGCCGTACAAGAACGACTCTATTCTGCATGGGTTTATGCAGTATTGTGAAGGCGTTGCCAAGTCTGTAACCGTCAGGTGAAGACAGCTTGGGCGTCTGTGTGGATAGTAATATCACTTTGTGTGTTTGCCTACCTAACCTCGCATCACATGCTAGCTATTGGTAGCCACAGCTGAAGGAATAGCTGTGCAGCGACTGCAGTGACAGTGCTGTTGCCTCAACAGACTAGTCTAGTGCAGTCTAGCTAGTGCACAGCAATCGACTCCAGGCAGTATCTCGAGATTTGCTCGTACATCAGCACAACCGCCACCCACAACAAGTCGACAACCCTCTTTCAAGGATACATCAATGCCGCTGAATCTAGGAGTGAGAGAGGCAGAGGACGATCATGTACATGATGAACGCCCCTACATACAGCGGTACCGCTTGCAGTTTGTTAGGCGCGCAATCGGCCAGCATGGAATCCTATGCACCATCGCCGCAGGATGAACATACATGTACCGACACAGAAAGTATTACAGTATTACAAAGCAGTGGTGTTGATGTTTGAAGACAAAGTCGACGGAGACTCATAAATCTTCGAGTTTACGGGCCACGTAGGGTATGTCGCTCGCCAACCCTTCGTGCGGCATATGGTACGGACACCCCGAGCAGGTGTGTATCTTCATTGGTAGCATCAACCGCACTAACCAGGTGTGTATGCGTGTGCTCAGGGATATGAGTACGTTCGCTCGAGCTCTCTCGACGTTTCAAAGGCTCGAAGAAGATCGCCTCCGAGACCCGAGATTCCGAGATTCCACGAGCCGAACCGTGGCACAACTCGCCGCATTTCCTTCCGAGGACAGGACTGAGACAGAGACATCCTCATGTACTGCTGTAGGAAATTTTGCACGACAGGTCGTTGGTATATCATCGGAGGCCGCTTGAACCGTCTGCTATTCAATACTGCTTGCAAAAAGATGCGAAACCAGCCTAAAAACTCCTCACGGCCCGACATGCGCTGCCTCACGCGTGGCCTGCAGTGATGGATGGGTGCCGCCTCGTGACGCACGGCAATAATTTTGGCCGCGGTTGGCGATGGAGGGTAGGTGTATACCACCACTTGCGTCGCCCCCAAACATTTACCGCTCTGTCTCGGTAGCTCGCAACGTCCACAACAGTCTCTTCTCTCCCTCTCTCTCAACGCGCACACCTTCTCTGTCTCTCTCTCTCGTTCTTCCCACGGGCTAGTAGTCGAGACCCAGGTGAGGATGGCAAAGGGTGTCACGCCTGAGGTTGGTAAGCTGAGGTTGTGCAGTGCGTGCTCCGTGCGTGCAGAGGACCAGGCCGTATCGAGAGTCTGCCCTCTCACCTCTCTACTGGTACTGTGTGAAACGTCGCCATAGCGAGGTGCAACATGACAAGATGGCACTGAGGGTTGTGGTGCTTGGTTCGACCAATAGGTTTCTCACGCCCCCCCCGTTCTACCCTGCCTTTTGCGTATAGTGTGAGAGCTTGGTTTACCTTTGTACCTCCGTGTCTAAAATTGCCTCGAGTTTTTCCAGCAGGGGGGGATAGTGTCTGTCGGCGCCACACCCGCCACCTGGTGCTGCCGAACTGTCTGTACCATGACACCCTCCATTCCACGTCTCAGTTTCGTAGAGGACAAAGTTAGCCAGCCGGTGTGTGTACCTCCTTCGTCTCATGTCGCGGGAAAATGGACGTGAGCCTGAGGCAAAAGGTCCTCGTGCTCTTGGTCCCAGCAGAACCGCACGAGATTAAAGAGATTGCTCTCGATCCCCCGCCGCTGCGGTGTACCTGCATGCATGTGCGCGTAGTATACAACCGTTTGCAGGTCGAGGTACAGTCTACTGGCAAGTAGCCCCGGAGCTTTGCCGGTCATAGGCGTCTTCGTCCTCAAGACGTGTTTGCGAAGGTGTTGGAATTGTTTGCAAGAAAGTACTGGCGTTTTTCTCCTCGACTTGGCGTCGCTGACATCCGAAAATACATGCTCGAAGGTATACATAAGAAAATACGAAAATACGAAAATACCAGGCGCAGAATAGAGCAGCACATGCGGTAATTCAACTTTAGGGCCGTTCCAAACGGACCCCAAAGTCCCCTGAACGAACCTGAAGGAAGCACAGAACGGGAAAGAGAAAACCGGCCCTTTTCCGCTTGTTTTTTCGTGATGTTATTGTCATCGCAAAAATACAGAAAGATGTTGCCTTCGTTGAATACCCGCTTCGCTCGATACAGTTAGGGGTGCTAACCAACAAACGTATAGGAAATTTTTTCAAGTTGTGTCCCGGAGCTTCCAGATGGAAAAATCATCGAGCCAACCAAATCTCGAGAACTTGTCGTTGGGCACCGCGAAAAAAGACGTCAAGAGAGGGGAGCACACCCACCGCACATATATGCATTCGTCATCGATAAAAACGTTGGCGAACGAACCCCACACACACGTGACCAGCGCGACGCCAGCAAAGCAGTCAGTTTGCTTGGCCCTTGGAGGTTGAGACTTGTATTGTTGTTGTTGTTGCTGCTGCTGCTGCTGCTGCTGTTGCGATCGTGGCAAAAAAAGAATCCGTTGCATCCGGACAGAAAGTGTTGTCCGTCATCACAAATGCTGCTGCCAGGAAACAGAGGAGACACTGCTTGACATTGCTTGCTGCCACCGTGCCCCTACAGAGGAGGCCAGCATCTACTGGCCCGTGAACCTGTGGTTGAATGTCTGGCCTCGTAGAGCGCGAGATCAACACAAGCAGCGATGGTGCCGTGAGCCTCTTCTGTCCTTTATTGCTTGTTTGGCCCTTTCGGCATTTTTTTTAACGATGTCTGCTGCACACCTCTTTGCTCCACCACCTGCTGCTTTTCTGGTCACCCTGAACAATGGACAGGCCACGAGCTCGAACGGGCTTGTTCTCGTGCGCGTGCACGGGGGTGTTTGCTTTCCATGTCTGCGCTTTGTCCCAACACGTGTGATGATGTGGCTGAAAAAACGGAACTTTCAGCGACCAGGCGCTCGCCTTCCTTTTTTTCAGACACTTCACATCCGCCCATTTCCCGTTCAGCAGTCGCACGAATCGCTGGGAATCAGCAAACGAACACACAGCTGTCATCGCGTGGGGTAGCCGCGGCAAGAGAACATCTACCGCCCGCATGATCAATGCTGTTGCGTGTCGCCCTTCTCTAGAAAAAATTCCGTTTTTTTCTTTTGCCGCTCGCCCTCGCCCGCCCCCCTCAGGAGGAACTTCAGCCAGTTTTCGGGCGAAAGTGACCATTTTTGACGCAGAAGCGCTCCATGACGGCGGGCGCGATTCACTTACTGTGTTTCCTGCTGTGAGGGCAGTGTATAGTAAGCTCGGTTTCTCATGATTCGACGTTGCTGTGCCATTAGCAGAAAGAACGCCAGAAAAAGCGTGCAAATCACAGGTTTTTTGCATCTTGGTGGCTCCCTCTTAATCCAGATGACAATCGGAGCTTACTACACACTGGACACCGCCTGTACGCGGGTGTGTGTAGAGTGTGAAGCGCCAACATGTCCCTGGGCGTAAGGACTTATCGTCCAAAAATGAACATGAACGCGGTCTAAAATCAAGTATGATACTCGGCGTCGTCAGAAGGACTCATTTTTTTTTTTTCAGCAGGTGAAATTTTCGAACAGACCGGACACACTTCTTACGGGCATACAGGCCTGATTAGCACCCCTGACAGTAGCAGGTTGGCTTGGTATTGCTCCCCATACAGCAGCGGTAACAGCACAACGATCAGCACGACTACAAAGGACAGCGCACTCAAAAAGACCCCGACCACCCGGCCTGCTGCTTTCAACCCGCGCAGGGCAGAGTTGTTTTGTTTGTTTTTCTCCCACCATTGGACTCTGCCGTCTGCACCCCTGTCCCCCACCCTCCACTTCTACCAGCTAGACGACCCAACCGGGGTCACATAGGAGGGGGGGGTTGGACCCCCTCCTGCGGTTCCTGCCTGAGATATTTTTATCGCGAGAAGGGTACAGCAATCCCTCCCTTCGCGACTTATGAAGTCGCTCAAGTTTATCCCCTCGCGACCTATGAAGTCGCTCAAGTTTACTAACAACGAGCTTTGCAGCGCGTCGCTTCCAACGGAGACCAGGATTAGTAAGCGAGAAAAAACTCACTCTGTCGGGACTCGAACCCATGACCTGGTCCTTAACAGGCTGCGAGGCTACCCACTAGATCACCGGCGCGACCGGGTGTCGCAGCCTGGATGTTGCTTGCGATTTACTTTCAGTTTGCCGGCTCATTTTTCACCGTTTGCGACCCCCTTCTTCGGCCACCACCTGTCGAAAGGTAAACGAGCTCGACAATCATGGAAGTAGGGCGGTAGCGGCGCTGAGGGCCAGCTCATTCACATGACCGATCTGAAAGAATTAGCGTGTCGGAGGCCCTGTTGCTCTCCTGCTGCGTGGTGCCGCGGATTTATGTTGCTGTCTCCGACCAACAACAGGCCATCTCGCAGCATTTTTCGAACGGCAGTTTGGCGAGGCGGACCACATTTCTCACGCATCTTCTTGAGCAGCACCCAAGCCCCAAATACCCACGAAGCAGCACAGCGCTAGGGGTGAGTACATCTAACCAGCCGAACCGAAGGAATCAGCCCGTTGGAGGCCGTGGCGCTGCTGCTGTACTCTTTCTGCTGTTTCCGTGTTTCTCATGTGTGATGGAAAAAACATCCCGAGCGTCAACAGCAGCAGATTAAGACGAGGGGACCATGGAACGTCTCGGCTGGGACAAAGAGCGGACTGAACGCGGCCTCTGCCGCTTGTCTATCTCCGCAATAGACCTGGACGTGAGTCTGGCAGGTCTTGCTAGCGTTCTCAGTGATCTTACAGCGCCCGCGGTGCGCCTGCCGGATCCTTTTTCCAAATAACCTCATCAAACCCATCGGTGAAAGGAGCAAGGGCCAAAAAACAATTGCTTGGTCTTTTCACGGATCGGGAGATCAACGCCTCCATGTATTAGTTTGTTTGCCTTGAAATTTTCTCGATTGCAACGACCCTTGTACGGTCGTTCCATCTGGGTGAGCAAGGTGTTGCACGCCGCACACCCTCCAAACACTCGGCTCCATATGCGTAGCTGCGCTTGTTCCAAGGTGCCTTTGTCAGCATTTCGTTTCCCGGCAGTGGTAAGACTCATAACACTTTGTGCGTGAGAGACATGTCGTTTGCTAGTCAAGGCATCCCAAACTGTAATCCCGAACCTGCAGCATGTTTTAGACTACCGTTGGCTACGTCCGCATCAGGTGACGACCCAATCGTGTCATGTCAGGACTTGTGAGAAAAAAATAGAAAAAAAAACGCCTGGTCGGCGGTTGCTGGGAAATTATCCTCATCACGCATGAAATCCAAGCTTGGACACGTGGAGGTGACACATGCAAACCCGCCATTGGAGCGTCCCATCGAAAGTCGTGTGCACTCTTGTGGCGTCGCCAGCTTCGAGCACAGATTAGATATGGAGCATAATGCAGAATCCGCCGCCGATTGTTTATTTTTCCCTTTGTTCTCGGTGTTCTTGCGAGTTGGGCCTCTGCTTCCTAGGGCTGGTCCTTTCCGAAACGGTGCACCCACACTTCACAACCAGACTAAGAGTCAGAGCGGAAAGATCCACAGAAGTCGCTGTGTTGATTGGGTCAAATGATGACGAGACCACGTTCGTTTGTTGTTTTCACCTCAAATTCCAGGAAGATTAACTCTGGGTCAGAACACGATAAACATTCCGAATACATTATTAATATTCCAATAAAAACCAGAGTGGGGCGAACCGCAACCCAGTGTTCCCATGAACACAACCAAAAAACGGTCTACTGGAAGTACGACGGCGAAGTTTGTACGACTGATGTCACGCTCATGCCACTTTGCAACACAGGACGAGGGAAAGTCTTCACACTCGCACACCGCGCATGCTTCACAATCGACCATGAGCACAAGATGATACCCTCCTCGCATGCTGACCAACAGCAGCGCGACAAGCAGCAGCAGCAGCAAGCTGCCACCAGTGCCAGCGTGTCCTCGCGTTTTCTGTGGCTTCGCACCCCACCGAGTTTGTGCCGTAGGGTGTTCCCGGCCGGCGCGACTCTCCAGGGGCTCACTGGCCGTAACCCCATGTATCCACCTCCATACAACTTCAAGACCTCAACCACAGCTATTCGTTGTTGTGCCGACCACTCAACTCAAACTAGGTCTGGGTTTGCTATATAGCGGTTTACACCCACCACATTTTTTGTCAGAGTTCTGTGGATCTTACCGCTCTAAGTCTTGATTGGGTGTGAAGTCTGGGTGCACAATTCCGGCTAGGACCAGACCTTGACGGAGTGCACAGCGGTGTCTTAATCGCGGGCTCGTTCTGTAGCTGCGAGGCGTCACCGCGATGTTCGAACATGTTTTGAGTACGGTTGTAAATGTTTCATGCGTAAGGAGCTCTTTTTTCGCGTGCAGCGACACAGCAATATTCGTCTCCACCACCACTCAGCAACCCTAGACTATACATTGCTCTGTTGATCGGTGTTGTTTTTTTTTGGGTTTATCTGATTTTTAATTTTGTTAGCGGTAAGCTTATAAGGTGTATGGTGCTGGGGAATGGCTCGCTGACGGCTCAGAAATTGTACCAGCTTGCAGCCTCAGCAGCGCCGTCAACGGCTACCTACACCTAGCACGAGATACACAGGCCCTCTCTTCCGCCCTTCAAGACGTCAGGCAGCAGCAACAACGACAGCTTCAAAAGCAGACATGAACCCCTACTGCTTCCAAGAAGAAACGAAGGATCCAAAGCCTGCGGCATACAAGCAGCCAGGGGGCGACGCAAGATCGTATCTTTATGTCGACGAAAAGCTACATCCCCCCTGTCCAGCAGCATTTTCTTTTCACCGGCGGCTCCCGGCGTACCGCGGTAGAGTATTCGCACTTTCCTACTACCGCTACGCTATCGGTCTGCCGGAGAAGTAATTTTGATGCTGTCGTCATGTAGAACAACCAGGGATGATCGCTTGGGCTTCGCCTCTCGCAACATTCGGAACACGAACCCCCGGGTAGACAATCTCGAACCAGTTTGAGGTTACAGCATGAACTCTTTTGACGCAAAATTTGGCTCTCTCTCTCTCCCGTTTGCCGCTGCTGGGCGATCGTTCGTTCGTTCCGTCCGATCCACGCCCCTCCCAGATCGCACCCGCCCAAGGCCGTCGAATATTCGACCCTCCTGAAGCAGCAGTATGGTCCGAGTCAAGCCCTTCCGCGGCTTGCGCCCGCCTGCGGAGATGGCCGCCGCCCTGTCCGCTCCCCCGTATGACGTCATCAACTCGGACGAGGCCCGCGAGCTCATGAAGACGGCGGGTGAGACGTCGTTCCTTCGAGTCAACAAGCCGGAAGTAGACTTACCGCCGGAGATCAACCAGTACGACGTCCAGGTGTGTGCGCGCGCCGGCGTTGGGGGGAGGGGGTGGTTGTCGCTCGCCGCGATAGCCGGCCCAACAATGGGAACGACGCCAGCGTTACCGTACAGTCAGTGCTATACCGCGAACGCGGTTCTGACGGTGTGTGCTTGTTGGGGTTATCTAACTCGTTTTTCTGTTTGTTGCTGGCGTCGACAGCGCTGACCGGCTGACCAATGAAAAGGGATCAGTCTCAGCCGGGCGTTTGGCTGGACACGCTTCTAAGTGCCATGTGTCATGTGTTCGTGTGTGTGTAATTAGCATCGGCCGCTCTGACCGACTGACCAATGAAAAGACGTCTCGTCGCCGCTGGACAGACGAACAAAGGAAGGCTCGACGGAATATAGTAGAGCCGGTATGGTGGGTGGTTTGTGCCCGGTCGGGAGTGTTGTTGCTCTCTCTCTCTCGCTCTCTCCGCCCGCCCAACCAGCTGACCAACTGCAACAACGAAAGGGGTTATGCAGCCTGCAGCAGGTGCAAAGCGTGGTCTCCCCGCACGGAGTCAATGTCGACGTTTGCAGTTTTTGGAAAAGGAGGGGAGAGCTCACGCGGGGGGCGGGGGGGGGGGT